AAACAAAATCCTACATATACAAGATGATATTTGCTTGACTGTGAACCAGAAATGTTGCCAGGTGGAACGCCAGACTTTTCAGCCTCTTAAGACAAACTGGCTCTTTTTGGGCTGGTTTCTCTCACCTCGTTCAAAGTGTTCGAAGCACTTAGGATTGTAATAATTTCCGAGCAAATATTGGCGCTGGAGTGCTTAAACAGTGAAGTCCGAGAGCTGGTCGGGTTTCACTTTTTAATTATTCATAGAAAAGTCGATACGTTTTCACTTTCGATTGCACTATTGGAAGAGGATGCATTTCTTCATTTCGTCCACTGATTTATTAGCTGTATCCAAATTAACAATGTATAATAATCCTCGCTCTCCTAACGTTGTGGAAGCTAAAAAAAAACAATAAACCCTGTCGATTAGGCCATAGCAAAATTTGGTCAACCATTTGGTAAAGTAGTCCTAAAGATTCTGATTAAAGGCTGTGACTTTCATTAGAAATAGAGGACTTTTTTTCACGACAATTCTGCTCTGGAGGAGAGATATTTAGCCATTTGGTTGAGGAATGTAAACTGAAGATGAAAATTGGATTTTGTATTTAAAGAAAGCAAATATTATAAGAAATCCATATATGAATGAAAATAGATTTATAATAGAATGACAATTTCTAAGCTTCCAGACAATTTGGGGCCAACTTGGGGTATTTTGAACAAATTGAATTACAGGATTGGTAGGTAATTCAATAAAATTAGACGCTGAATGTGTGCAGTCAATGGTCAATTTAACAAATGGGATAAAACATCCTACAAAAGCGAAATGGGCTTTCGAAAGGCGAAATTCGGCCAAATATATTTTTGAGCGGTTGAAAAATTTTCTGGGAAAATTACACGCTTCAATACAAAAGCGACTAACATAAATAGAAATTTGGTTGCAGTTGCAAATTCAGTTCATTCTTTTCACTCGAGAGGTCTAGGGAAGAAGAAAAATGTGTACAACAAACAAAAACTCGAAGAAAACCCGATTTTAAATGCTTATGACATCAATCTAGCTTGGGAAAGTATAATATATATCATCAATATCATCAATCAAGTATAATATCAAGAATTCAGCAAGGGAGGCACTTGGAGAACGAAACATAAAAGTGAACCAACAAAACACAAGACACCATCGTTCCGCCCAGAGGTCAAGGAACAGTGCAAAGGACAAAGAAAAGCTTCATATAATGAATATAAACAAGTTAAGAACAAAACTAAAAAATTAATGAGAAAAATAAAAACGATTATTGGGAAATGTTCTCCAAACGCCTGGAAGGTGATTTCTGGCTTCAAAAGCAGATATGGCGATTCAGAAGATTGCACAGAAAAGAGGGTCTCTAACTGCTAGAACCAACCCACATAAAAAAGGAAGAGTGAATCAGATATTTAACCGATTTTTATAAAACGGCAAACACGGCAGACGAGTCTACCTATTAACGAAGATGCCACGACCAATATATTCGACGAAGAAGACGCACTACAGAAACTAAGAAATAGAAAAAGCGCCGGGCAAGACGGGATACAATATGAATTGCTCAAATACGGTGGGCAAAGACTAACAGAAGAATTAACAACTTTAATACAGAAAATTATATATCAACACAAAA